ACGGCCACGCACGTGGGCACCAATTTTTTTTTTTCTTTTTTTTTTTTTATCCGACCCTTGCACGCTTGCTCATACGCAGGGCTCTCTGGAATCACTTCGTTTTCGTTTTAAACAATGCGCCTTTTGTCCTTCGCTCCGTTTTCCCACTGAAATTTTGTCTCTGTCGAGCGAGTTTTCTTTTTTTTTTACTTTTTTCCTCAAACAATACTCGATAATACATGCTCTCCAATTTTGTGAAATTCCATCGAATAATTCGTTCCTCTTTCTCTCTCTCTCTCTCTCTCCGATTTCCATGAAATATCTATACATATAAACCTCTATCTCTGCGCGATTAAATTTTTTTTTCCAGTCGCAACTCGAAGTTGGGCCAACGTTTCAAACGAAATTTAAAACTATCAGATAGGCGGGATATATATATAGTCTAGTGATACACGAAAGGCAATTTTCGGGCACAATTATCGGGACATGTCGTTGGACACGGTTGGAAGGTTGTTCGACGGATAGAATTAAACTTGGTGGAACGGGTGCAAAGTTTCCTTAAAATTAAGCCATCCTCCCTCTCTCCCTCCCTCCCTCCCTCCTCCTCCTCCTTTCCCCTCTCGTACACGATTCGAGAGCAGTCGAGGAGCAAAGTAAACGGCGCACAACTGAGCGACTTAATTCAGAATACACGGCGCGGCGCAATATAACACCGGGGAGCCCCCTCCTTCCCCTTCTTTCCGATCCGTGCGAGGCGACTCGCAATTTATTCCTCTTCGCCCCCTCTCCCCCTTCTCTCTCTCTCTCTCTCTCTCTCTACGCCTCTGCCACCGCCACTCTCCAATTAACTTTAAATCACCCTCTCGGCGAGTCCTCCTCATAACGCGAAACTTCGAAATCAGGAGTCATGGTGCGCGTTTAAATTCCCTGGGAAAAAAAGAACGCGCGAGATCGTTTTCATTTCACCCTCGTTCTCCACGTACAATTGCGATTCAAATTCCGCCCGGTTTACCACCACCCTCGCGTTCCAATACAAAATTTAACTATCCAAGTTTTCCCTCTCTTCCATTGCATCCGGTTGGCATCCTGCAAAATTGGCGAAAAAATTATTCGAAATAATCGAAGATAAAGAGAAACGGAGAGAAAAGAAGAAGAGGAAGAAGAAGAAGAAGAGGAAGAGGAAGAAGAAGAATAGTGTTTCGCGGAGAGAATCGAAGAATCGCTTGGAAAGATTATAAGCCGGTTAATTTTCGAATCGGCTTACGCGACACGCTCTTTGGGAACGGGAGAGAAAGGGCGGGTTTTGTGGCCGAGTTATGGGACAGAGGATAACCAAGTGGGTGTGTATTGTGCCTCCTGTCATCCTCAGTCGAGCTTTCGTTACCCCAAATGCTAATTATATGTCAACCGTTCACGCGCCATATCACGGAAGGCCGAGTGTCAGGGATGGAACAATGAGGGTGGCTCGGGCTAATGGGCCTCTTCCACACCAAAGACGTTGCACAAACTTTTCAGACGTTCTAATAAAAATTACACGGTGTCTTCATTTGCGAAAATTGCGTCGTTTCTGTCACGTCTGACAAGAAAATCCGGGAAAATCCGTGTTTTTTAATTCCAACAAAAAATGTGTCACCCGTCGTCGTGCCCCTCCTTTCCATTCTATTTTTGGAAAAGTAGATCACACGCGTGAGATACAGTTTTTTTATCGTCATTCATAGGTACGTAAGCCGCCACAGATAAATATAAGAAAGTTTAAGCGACAAAATTCGTCAGGGCCAATTTATTCCCTTATCGCCACTTAAGAGAAAAGAGCGATAGGCGTGTGACCTCATGAACCGGTATTATTCGCAGAAGGACTCGCTGATTGATGCACTCCGTACACGCAAAACTCCTATCCGCCCACTTTCACCCCTTCCGATTCGGAATGTTCATATTGGGGAGTCTCGCTGATTCGAATCATCCTTGCTTATCGAGGTTAACCGGTGTATTATCTTGATAAATCGATGTCCATCTCGAAAACGTTCCATTTTTTTATTTACAATTTTCCACGTTAGATTTTGCGATATTTGAAACGTTCAACCGGTTCAAACCGCAATAATGCTCGCATCGTGACAACGGAGGCAACCGTTGGAAGCAAGTGGAATAAGAAAACGAAAGTTTGATCGTTCCACTTCGTTAAGAGAGGAGATAATTAATGAGTCGACAACGGGACGGGTAAATTTGCAAAGCCATTTCAAGTTTCTTCCAACCGCTTCAACTTTCCTCAGCTTCCATTCGTCCGTTACCGTTTGATAGTTTACTGTAGGTGATTGAATTCTTCCGACGATTTGTAATCGCATCGGTAAACTTTGTACATTTAACGCCAACTCTTCACCTGACGGGAATGGAAATGGTAACGGAGGTGTTCATCATTCAGGAGTGGCTCACGAAACCTGGCTGGCTATCGTCTTCAACCCTTCTATCGACCTTCTAACGTCCCTCGCGCGTCCCCGAAATTCTTCTTCGATTCTTCCATGCTAATTAACGTGCAAATAAAAATCGTCGTGAAAATTTCAATCGAAATAATAAAGAACGAGGCGAGGGAGGAGAGATATAAGAAGTAAGTAAGCGAAGAAAAAGCGGTGAAAGAAAAATTAGCAAATTTCAGACAAATCGATACCAATCGCGCGAGAAAGGAAACAAAATGGTCCCGAAGCAGAGTCGGCCATACTTGAGAGTGGAGATTGAAGCAAATTGGCAGAATTGTTGGCTGCCGCAAGGAGCAATACTGATTACCTCGACCGCTCGTTAAGTACTGTAACAATACTAACCCCCACCACGTCCCATACGATTCTCCCCTCTCGTATCACTTTTGCGAGGGTGATAGATCCGTTGGCCAATCCTGTCGCCTCGTTCCCCACCCTTTCACCCTGCATTTTGTGTCTTCTTCTCGCCCCGTGTCGGCTGCAACGGGTTAGAAAACGGCAAGTGACGATAAGCCAGAAAGAGGAAGAGAATGATGGATACATACCGAGTGAGGGGTCTGCCTATGTAGAGTGCGAGGAACAAGGAAGGAGGGAGTCAGCGTGACACCACGTTCAGTGCGAGAGAGAGAGAGAGCGTACATTTGAATCGTAAAAGCGTGCAAAGAACACGGTGCAAAGAAAAACCAAGAGGAGAAGAAGAAGAGGAGGAGGAGAAGGAAGAAGAAAAAGAAGAAAAAGAAGGAAAGAGGAAGAGAGCGAGAGGAAATGTAACGGGAAAGGGTGAGAAACAGGAAAAGAAGTGAAAAAAAGACAAACGAATGAGCGAGAAAAGTGTAACTAAAAAGTAAATGGACAAGATTCACCTATTCATTTAAGGGGGAGAAAAGTGAGAGATTATGGGAAAAGTGTTTGAAAGAAATTACGCAAGGAAGGGGATGGAAATCGAAGTCAACGCGAAGGAAGGGGGGTGGTTCGAGACGAGGCTTACGTTTCGAAGTGCTCGAAGACGCATAATCATAGCTTTTGTGATTTACGACGACAGTTGCGCGGCTCCATGACGACAAAGTCGGAGTCTACGGTTTTCTATAGGTCATAGGGGCGTTTCGGGGGTTACGCGAGGAGATCGTTTCCCTTCTCGAGCCTCGCTTCTCACACCGGCCTTGCTTTTCCGCTCCTTGTTCCCTGGTTATTAGGGCTGCCTTTCGCTGTGGGACAATCGAAAGGTACCGGCTAATGGGCGGAGCTTTTGGGCAGAACCACTGCGTCATATTCCACCCTGTCGACGGGGGTTCGGTATTTCCATCGTTTCTGGAAGCATGCATTTTTCATCGTGGTTAAGCAACATGTTTGCTCTCTCCCCGATATCGGATATTTTCATTGTTGCCATTCGAATTTTCGCTTCGCGCTTTTCGCTTATTAAATTTTCCCATTTTTTTTCTTTTCATCGATTTTTCATCGTGTAAGATTCAGATTTTTAGAATTTTAGAATTCACGTATGCTTCTTTCTCTTCCTCCTTTTCTTCTTCCTTTTCTTCTTCTCCCTCTTCTTCCTTTCTTCTTGCGAAGAGACTCGTAAAGTTCGGAAAAGACGAAGAAACGAGTGTTTTACAAAACCACCAGTCCTATCCAATTCCAACCGTCATTCCAAGTCCAAACATAACGCTATTCTACGGAGCAAACATTTCTACTTTTCGTCCGTGCAAACCTTCCATGATACCTCGGGGAAGCTTGCTCTTCAACTGTGCTGACCATTTCGCGACTCATTCAGCCCCGCCATTCATCTCCCTTTTCCATGTTGCACATGCTTAATGGCTACCAGTATATTCATGCTATTTTTGCGCGCGAATCAACATTCAAATTGCGTACGCATACGTGATTACACGCATCGAAGGATTCTATCGTTGGATTCGCGATTAACGCGAATTTTATCCATTCTTGCACATCGCGCCATGTATAAAAAATTCGTTCGAATTACGTTTTACGATGATTGGACGAGGAAGATGGAAGTCAACGATGTTTGGCTCGAAGCGCGAAGTGCGAAATAGGGCATTCCCTCCGTCGTCGTTTCGACGTTTGCGCCCAGCCCCCATCGTTCAATGCGAACCGTGCTTTTTTTTTTATGTCAACACGAGGGCCAATTGAGCGGATATAATAGCGGTACCACATGTTTCGCTCGGATTCGCCTTTGACATGTGGGTTCCGTCCCGTTCCTTCTCTCTCTTTGGTGCGTACGCGCATCAAAACACTAACAGACTTCTGCGAAGGGAGGATCGTAGCGGCCACTAACGACCGAGTCCTCGAAATCATCAAATTGATCGCCATGATTTGGCTATTCCCCTCCATGCTTCGCGTCGTTGCCCACCACCAATTGACCAATCGATTCGGTTAAGGAGAAATTTTCAAACGACATCGTTCTTCCCTTCTCTCCTCGATTCCGTTTCTTCTCCCGTCCCATCACCTCGAACAAAATTATATTAAAATTATTAGAGAGTATTTTTGTTCGTCGATCTTGGAAAATTGGAAAACTTGATCTCGATTCCTGTTCCCTGATTGCAGGATCTCTACCATGCAACCGTTCTCGACCGGCAGCACAATGGCGAGCGAAACACCGACCAGCCTCCCACCGGAGAGAGTTACCTCACCGGCGCCGTGCAAGAACTTGACCTTCTCGATCGCGAAAATCATGGAGCCGGACAAACGTCTGACCGAGCAGAGCAACAACAATCAGCAAACGACGACGACGACGA